CTTCCGTAATTATACAGGTAAACTGCCTTATGCTCTCTTACCGTGCTTCCAAATGAGACGGTGACCAATTCGTTTTCGTGAGGAACGATGACTTCTATCGGTGTGGAGAATTTCCCTTCACCAACAGGGCCTATGGAGTGCCAGTGATCGTCGGTGCATTTAATGTGCATCGACATACTAGTATGCATTTACCTCCACAAGCATTTACTGCTTTCTGTTCGAAGTCTTGGGAGTGTCTGAGGGCCATCGAATGATAGCACTCATAGATTGGCCTTAGGTGAAGAAAGCAAATACCTTTCAGTCCACGCGTATACAAGGCCACCGTCGGGGCCTTTGTGTTGCAAGAATGAACAACTTGAGTGCGCTCTTTCCACTTGGTGTTACGTATTTTCCATACCAACACTGAGTCGCATAAAACCAGTTTCCCCTATCTGTAGCATGCGCAATATGGACTCAGGCCAAGGTTCCATGCACAGGTGACGTGTTGTACCCATGCATCGATGAAGTGGAAGACAGCCTTGACCCGAAGCTCTTTATGGGGTGGTAGGCGGTCAAACGCTTTGCTTATTTCCCCCTGGAGAGTCATCTATAGCTGGAATTCTCTGCTCTGCTTTTCAATTCGATACCTTAGCGAATTTTCCATAGCCTCCAAGCATGGATATTCCTGCGCAAGATGAAACGATGTCCTGCGACGCTGTTCGGCAGTATATATATATATATATACATATATAGTTTCTGCCGAACGGAATAACGGACCTGGGTTGTCCCATCCTTCAGCTTTCCCTCCGGAGAAGTCCTCACGATGTGTAGTCCGGAATTGAGCTACACCGCGGACGAACAACGGGCCTTTAAGGTCCAGGGAACTGAATGCGTTGGTGCGGGAACGAGAAAAATTTTGAACGAAGAACGTCCGTCGTATTGAATCCTGCGAGGGCAGTTCATACCTAGTAGAGAGGTCTGCATAGATGCGCATGGTGTCTTCGTTGTCGACGCTCAGTATCGTTGTTCGTGGGCTTGCAATGACAAACTCCCCCGACCCATCAATGCCCATTTGGAACTGGTCTGGATCATTTCCAATACCAATCAGCGCATTTCTTCCGCTTGCCGGTGCCACGCGTAGCTGCCCAACCACCATGCCCGCCTGCACTGTAGGGCTCTCTGCATCAACAACCAATGCCTTGGAAACAAATGCAGCTACAACAAATGTAATTGCGTTCAGCATTTTCTTCAAGTAAAGTGTATCGTCGAATAGGTGAGAGTCACCTTTAGCCGTCGGCACACGGAAACCTCAGGTTGCGGCGGCACGCGGTTGTGGGATGTACATCCAGTGCTCGCTGGAGCAGGAAGATCCTAGAAGCTTGGTAAAAAGTCCAAAAAGGGGTCATTGTTCAGGAGTTATTTCACAGATGCAGTTAAGCAACAGCACTACGAAAGTATCCATACTCGTTCCAGCTCCAGAAAAACCAATTTTGAAAAGCGGTCGGAGTTTCACGGCGCGCTTGCGCTAAAACGAGTAGCGTCACGACATGCAGGTTATATTCAAATTGTATTCAGGATGGCTGGTGTGGGCTTTGGGAAGCACCTTGCCCCCACGCAAGCAATAACTTCTCATGGGCAAAACCCCGCTGCCGGATTCGGAGGAATCGTGGGGGCACTAACAGCTTACGACACCGTAAGTGAATACAAACAAAATGTGTCAAGAACCCAGTGATAACTATGCAGCGGCGTTCACACTGGCATTTACGATGCCTTCTAAGCTAGAGAAATACTCCACGAACACGGACACCGCCCCAGGCCGCCGCTCGTCCTAGAAATTAAGAACCAAACACAGGAGAATGTGAAATCGTGCGCACGTGCCGCGAGACATACCCTACCCATATCCCCCTGAGGTTTGGAAAGTCGAAGAGAGTTACAGTAAGGGGGTGCCAGCTTACCTCATCGGACCACTGCATGCGAAGACGGTCGCGGCCATCGTGGATCGCAACAAGAGACAGAAATTCAATGAGAATTCCACCGCTGTCAAGCTCCTGCAGCCCCAGACGGTCCCCAAAGTCGCAAAATTCAGGTGTAGCAAGTGCAGAGGGATGCTCTTCTCCGCCCACAAGCCCACAATGCATGCGCTGTTTTTCATACGCCTGCCGGCACTGAACAACGTAGTCCAAGAACAAATGAAGCAATTGTTGGAACAGAGGTGCCTCCAGTTGCACTTCGTGCTGGTAACGGAGTGCAACGAGCTGAAGGCAGCGCGGCGGTACTCTCCCTGCCACAGCCGCGCTGTCCACCGCCGTCGATTGCGGGAAGTGAATTTTATTCCTACTCTTCAGTTCAACCTGTGCAGCGTCGCCCAGATGCGGGTTCTCGCTGAGACTGCCGATCCCTGAGCTGCCTGCAAGACCTGGCGTCTGTTTTGAGCTAGCATAGTGTTTAAAGCTTCCGCAGCCGTTGATTGTAGCGTCTGTGGCCCCACGAGCAAGGTCTTCAAAGCCAACCAACAGGAATAGGTCGTCGGCAGGGTCTCGTCCTTCTCCGGAGCCAGCTGGCACGCCCTTCGCAACCTCGCTTGGAATGCAGAAGAAGAGCGAGGATGGGGGGAAAAAGTACGGAGAGACCGGAAAGTAGGGAAGGGAGAAAGCGTCGGCCGCTGACTGGGGTAAGTAGCGCCGAATAGCCGGAGACCCAAGCAATGCAGTCAGCTGAAAAGTGAAGCACAAGAGTCCACGTACAGCGACAATCTCCCACGCATCTTGAAACGCACCTCATAAGCAACCACCGTGCCACAATAAAACCTCGAGATACTGCAGTGGGCATGAGGACACCACGGAGCCTTCACATCACGACTTACTGCGGGGTCGTCGCACTCCCAGAGTGTTTCCCTTAACGAAGAATTGGCTGGAGACGCATTATTCAAATTTGCAACAGAACGGCGAAAGCAGTGATCATGGATATAGACAGGCACACGGCGCTCTGCCCTTTCTAATGGGACAGACACCGTCTGGCCGGTGGGCGGAGTGTGTACTGGAACACCGAGTTCCCGCTGCAGGACGCGAGCCAGCTTGAGCATGCCCTCCTTCTCACCGTGAACCAGCATTACAGCTTTCGGCTGCAGATGTCGCGCAAGCTGCTGGATCCCCGTGGTATCTGCATGCGCTGAGAAAGACATATACCTGACTTTGCATAAGACCTTGAGCCTCGTCTTTGCATCAAGTGGGATTTCGCGTTGTCCTGTAGCAACGGTAACGGAGGAGCGGAGCCAAGCCTTCACATCGTAACAAGCACTAGCAGGTTATAACGCCTCAGCTACCACTGACAAGAAGCAACCTCGTTTTATGCGCGTTCTAACAAGACAATCGATGCCCGAACAGCTTACCGTCAATGAGCATTGCCCCTACAGTCCCACGGACGCAGTAACCTGGGAGCAGCACGAGGTTTTCTGGGCCTCCAGCCCACAGCTTTAGCGCTTTAAGGGCCAAACCTCCATGCAGCATCCCAGGCGTTGCCAGAAGCACCATGGGTGTGGGTGACGTGAGCACCTCCGGGGGCAGCGTGGAGATGTGTTGAAAGTCGAACTCGCCAAATTCAGCTGCTGCAAACAAATCCCTACCCACGCAGCAGGCTGTGCATTCTATGACGCGAAAACACAACACTGTTAATAAGCAAGTCCCACTGGTCATACAGTTGCAGATTGCTACTGAAGTGAAGAAACCTACCAGGTCCTGGAGGCGCGTCCTCTTCCACCTGATCGTCGAAGGTGCTATGTTGCGCATTCGCACCATCTAATCGATGAACCATATCACTGCCAGTCCACTGTACATACAGTTTGTAGTACTTGTTGGCCTTCTCTGTCATGCCACCACCAAAGTAGATCGGGTACTGCAACTGCATGCGCTGCCAGTAGGAATTCAGCAGCATGCACAGCTCTTGCGCTCTTCCAACTGCGAAAACAGGAATCAGGACTTTACCCTGCAGGCCAAAAAGCCAGAACATACGAAGCCACGAATATGAGGAGAAGCAGCTCTGTTATCATCGAAGGCTGCATGCGCAATTGAAGACTACTCGAGAAGAAATGCACTCACCCCCTTTTTTAGGGCGTCGTGCACGGCATCACAAAATTCCCTCTCCGTTATCCTTTTGGACGGCCGCACGAACGAGCCGTATGTGCATTCGCTTATAAGCAAATCGGGCCTGAGTCGTGGGATGCACGCGCTACCCAGGTGCCTATCCGGCGACGTGTTGAAATCGCCTGAGTATTAAGTCGTAGGCAGGGACTTGAGAGACCCCAGGCTTCAACGCATATACCAACAGTAATGGACTACTATATATATATATATATATATATATATTTGTAGCCTGAACCACGGGTCGTAATGAGCACATTAGATTTGTTGGCCTGAGCAAACAAACCGTGTCTAACGGTCTTCATGTGCTAACCTGTGTACACTATCGACAGACCGCCAGGGAGCTGAGCGTGAAGCATTGCAGCACCTAAGACATGCCCGGCATAGTACGGGGTGGCTGTCCACGCGCCTGCCGTCCAGGACTCGTGAAGCCTCAAGGCCATGCAGCGTCTCATACACCGTTGCGCCTCAGCTTCTGTGTAATTCCACTGTTCCTGAGACTGCCCTGCACCCCCGCCCACTCTGCTTTCGCTGCTGGTGCTGCCGCTCACGCCAATATCCCTCCCGCTGCCTTCAGCTGCATCCCACAGTCACACCAGAAGCAGCTTCAAGTTCAGTACATCTGTCACAGTTTGAAACGTACATGCATGCATGTATACGTAACCTTGAGCTTTATGGGTAGGCGAGAGAGATGCCTCACTTTCATGGAGGCGCCCGCGGAAAGAGGCCTCCTTAAAGATGCGAGCGCTGTCGAGAAGCAGTACCGGGCTTAGCGCACGCGTCGGAAATGTCATTGCTATGGGATTCCGGTAGCTGAGAAACAAAAGAGATAATGCGGCCATCAGCCGCAAAAAATATGCATCTAGACTGGAGGCAGCGAATGCATGCACTCTACTAGTGAGTCGAAACCTATCAGCATTCACGACATCCCTCGTAAACACCGTTACAAAGGCATCACACCACGGGCTGAATAATGCATGCAAAACGCTGCAGTGTGTAATTCTGAAAAGAGGGCCACGCCCCCTGTTATGTTGAGGAAACCACCTGACAGTTGAAACTTTTGCAGAGCTGAACCACATTCTTACCCGAGACGTTCTGTAAATGACGGCAAAGAGCCGCAGTGGTCCATGTGAAAATGAGAGATAAGCGTTGCGTCTGTACAACAGGCAAACAGAGGCGAAGGCTGCAGAAGCGCTTCTTCCATTGTCTGTGTCTCTTGCCTAGCATTCTGTTGAGGGGCGAGCTCCAGCAACATGTTCAAAACTGGCAGCTTCCTGGCCTGCT